TGAATGTCTTCATGCAAGGTCAATGTTTCTGCCTTTGGAAGGTCAGAGCACTCTTGGATTTCATCTAAAATATGTTTATTTGTGTTCCTAGGATGAATGAAGGCCTCGGGGGACTGGAACAGCATGAGTGTGAGTAATTAATAACAGAATTTTCATTTTTGGGTGAACTAATCCTTTAGTTCCTTTTGGCATAGACCAACAAGGGTCTGGAAATCGAGTTCATAGTGACATGATAGCATCCCACAGTTTCTACAGATTTGTCATGGCACATCCATGATGCGAATATCCTGTTCCGCCACATACCATTGAGATCGGATTGAGATTTAACTGTGGATTTGCAGTTGGTGACAGTGCATCATCATGCTGCAAGCAGGCAAGCAGCCATAACAAGATGGTTATACTGTGACCATAAAGGACTTGTCAGCAACAATACTCAGGTAGGCTGTGACATTAAAACAATGCTCAAAAGGATTTGTAAGATGTGTGCCAGGAAAATGTCCCCCACACCATTGCGCCACCAGCAGCATGAACCACTGATACAAGGCACAATGGATTTCATGTTGTTTACACCAAATTCTGAGCCAACTATCGGAATGTTGCAGCAGCAAATCAGACTAGGCAACATTTTCTAATAATATATTGTCTAATTTTGCAGAGCCCATGTAAATTGTAGCCTCAATTTGCTGTTGTTATGTGTCAGGAGTGTCACCACTGTGTCTTCTACTACTGCAGTAAATGTTATGCATTCAAAGATGTTCTTCTGCAGACATCTGCAGGTTGTAATGAGTGAACATTTGAATCTCTGTTGCCTTTCTATCAACTTAAACCAATTTATCTATTCACTTGTATTAGTAAAGGATTTTTTGTCAACAAAACTGCTGCTCACTGGGTGTTTCTTTAATTTAATTTTTATTTAGTTTACTTTATGTCTCTGAAAACCCTAAAGACAGGTGTGTAAAAACCAGAGTAGATTAACGGTTTCTGAAATATTCATCTGCACTGTAAAAAAATCCTGGTTGCCCTAAATATTTAAGCTGAAACAAATTATCTTTATGAGTTCATCAAACTTATATTATGTTACACTAACTTAAAACAGCTAGCGCAACTTTTAAAATTAAGTTTGAACATGATTAACCTTAATAAGTTACAATGACCTAAAAACATATGCAATCAGGACTAATTGATTATATATTTTTTTACAGTGTGGAAATGACAACCCTGCCAGTCCAAACTAGTGATGTTTTGAACTTCAGAAAATCTTAAGTAAGGCAACATGCGTAAAAGATGCTGTCATTCTTTGCTGATTATATACAGGTAAGATCAAAATTATTAGCCGCCTGTTTATTTTTTTTCCTCAATTTCTGTTTAACAGAGAGAAGATTTTTTCAACACATTTCTAAACATAATAGTTTTAATAACTTATTCCTAATAACTGATTTATTTTATCTTTGCCATAATGACAGTACAAAATATTTTACTAGATATTTTATGAGACACTTCTATACAGCTTAAACTGACATTTAAAGGCTTAACTAGGTTAATAAAATTAACTAGGCAAGTTAGGGTAACTAGGCAAGTTCATTCTGTAGACTGTTGAAAAAAATATATATAGCTTAAAGGGGCTGATAATATTAACCTTAAAACATTTTATTATTATTATTATTAAAAAGTTGTTTTTCTACTATAGCCGAAATAAAACAAATAAGATTTTTTCCAGAAGAAAAAATATTATCAGACATACTGTGAGAATTTCCTTGCTCTGTTAAACATTATTTGGGAAATATTAAAAAAAATAATAATTTAAAAGGGGGTTTTGTGCTTTTTATGTATAATATACTGTTTAATTTATGTATAAATACTGTATACTGTATAGATATACTGTATGTGTGAAAGTTTTAGATACAAACATGTAGTGAAGTAAATTTTCCACTAGTTGTTTGTGTGTCTGTGAGTTTGTCAAATTCATAGTTCAAATCTGTAAGCTTCACCCTAGATCATTCTGCGAAAGTCTAAAATCACTGCACACACACACACACACACACACACACACACACTAAAAGAAAATACATTAGAATAAATTGATGAACAGATCTATGTTTGCTTCAGATAGTGAACAAAGACTCAAAAACATTCAAATATAAAGCCGAACAATTCAACAAAGAGCTGACCTGAAGAGACGGATATAAAAGAAGCAAGAACGAGATAAAGCAAGCAGAAAGCAGGAAAGCTGAAATGATTTGAAAAGTGGGGAGGCATATTAAAAAGCTCAAAGCCTTTAAAATGCCTAACCAAGATACACTACTATATAAAATATTCTGAAAGCATGATCCTAACTTAAAAAAAAGCTTCTTTTTTTGTCTAATATGACCTAGCTTGATTTTTATTGTTCTCGTGTACGCTTACATCCATGATGAGGATGATCATTCTATTTTTTACTTATAAACGTATAGGTAGGTGACATATTGAAAAAAATCCTGCACACTATTAATACTTGCTAGTAATGTATTAAATGCAGCACTTTGTACCACTGACCTTCATCATGGATTTGCACAGTACATTTGTAGGTGAACCACAGTTAAAAGGCAAATATAAACTATTGTTATTAAGGGCCAAATGTATTTCTATTGACAAACTAGGTGTTATATCCCTGATAAAATAGATAAAACAAGAAAAAAAAAGAAAGAAGAAGAAGAAGCGATTTCAATGTTGGGTGTTTCGAGGTGAATGAACAGCCAGAGGGGGAGTTTTTTTTTTTTTTTTTTTTTTTTTTGGCAAGGTACTACTGAGAAAATTGGAAGAAAAAGCAAGGAAATGTTCATTATATCAGGAAGCAGAGCTACATTATACCAGTGACCTTCTAAAAAAATACAGATATGAGTGCAAGAGATCCAGTGGCAAGAGGCTTTGCGCGTAATTTAAAATTCATTTTGTGAACAGATCAATGTTTTAATGCAGTTTATTGTTTGATCTATATTTAAAGGGCACATATTTTACCCTTTTTTCAAGATTAAAGGTAAGTCTTTTGTGTTTCCAGAAAGTGTCTGTAAAGTTTCAGCTCAAAACACACATTAGATTATTTATTATACCCTCCTGAATATTGGATTTTCTGCTCTGAACACATTGTAGCTGTTATTGTTGCCTGTACTTTTAATGCTAGTTCTCCCCACCCACCGTTTCCACATGCCTGTCAGAGTGTGCCTCAATCTCAGCTATGTCAGATAAACAGCACAGTGACAGACATGAAGGAAGTAGTCTTTACATAATGTTTGTGAGGAATACTACAGTAAGAACTTTCAACTTTCACAATGATTATTTCTTGTATTTGTTGTGGCATTAATTTAAGCCTTTCTGCAACGATGAGTCGCACATAATGTTGTTACAATGTTGTTCACGCACACAGACACACACTCACAAACTGGGATTGAAGCCTCTTCTTTTATAATAGTACTGATAAGCAGCTGTGTTGATAAAGATGGTAAAATCGCTGTAATTCATTACAAACATACACTGTTTTAAAAATATTTTAAACTTGTTAAATTCATTCTTGATCACACTTGATGATGATTGATAATCACAGAGAGCTGAACGGATCTTTTAATCCTAGTTGCTTTACAATTTATAGTAAAAGTAATAGTAAAGTTTATAGTTATAGTAAAATAATTTTTGTTTCATTCTCGGATTTCATCTAGAACAAAGCACCAATCTCGTTCCTGGAGGTCTGTGCCCTGCAGGGTTTAGCTCTAACTTGCCTCAGCACACCTGCCTGGGTGTTTCAAATATACCTAGTAAGGCCTTGATTAGCTTGTTCAGGTGTTTTTGATTAGAGTTACAACTAAAATTTTCAGAACATTGGCCCTCTAGGAACAAGTTTGGTGTCCCCTGATCTAGAGCATTTTACCTTAAAACAACAATTGGTCATAACAACTAAAGGATTATGTTTTCAGACATGTTTTTCTGATTTATTCATTCACACATTACCATTATACACATTATATAATATATAATGGCACAATAACCTTCCTTTTTCATTCATTCACTCATTTTCCTTTGACTCAGTCATTATTTCAGAGGTTGCCACAGCGGAATGAACCGCCAAATATTCCAGCCGATGTTTTATGCAACAAATGCCCTTCCAGCTGCAACCCAGTATTGGGAAACACCCATACAAACTAATTCACACACATTCATACACTATGACCAATTTAGTTTATTCAATTCACCTACCGTGTACATGTCTTTCGACTGTGGGGGAAACCAGAGCACCCAAAGGAAACCCACGGCAACATAGGAAGAACATGCAAACTCTACCTAGAAATGCCAACTGAATCAGCCGGGACTCGAACCAGCGTCCTTCTTTCTGTAAAGGCAACAGTGCTAATCACTGAGCCACCGAGCTGCCCAACCATCCTGTCTAGCCACAATAAATAAAAATGTGTTCCTATTTTGACCAATGTCATTTTCTGAAAAAAAAACAACAACAATATTTTATTTTAAACTTGGGGAAAATGTGTTCAGACCTTTATGGAATAAGATTATTATTATTATTATTATTATTATTACTATATTATTATTACTCAAGTATATCAAGAGAATTTCCAAGTGGTGCCTTATTATATTTTAGCATAATACATGTTTTTATAGTATTTTGATGAAGAGATTTGAAGACAACGACAATAACGACAACAAAAACAATCAACACTCAAACTGATAGTAAGGCTTCAAGATCTCCATAATGATATGGTGAAAAATAACCATTAACTTGGGTTGTACTGTTTTCTGTATCTGTGGCCAATCGGACTAGATGTGCACATTTTGTTCTGCATTTCTCTTCAAGATAATTCCTCACCGACTGAAAATGAAATGCAGGTTAGTTGCAACCGAGAGATTTATTGACCCCTGAGCTCCTCATTTCTGTTTATCTTCACAGGAAGCTGTGTGTTTGCATGTGTGTGTGTGTGTGTCTGTGTTTTCTCTGATAGAGACAGGCATGGAGCACAGAATCATTGCATCTGCATAATGACTTTAATAAAGTCAGAAATAAGAAGTGTAACATAAGGTGGTTGTGTTTACATATTTGTATAAGAGTGAGTGTGTGTGTGCTTGTGAGAGAGTTCTCTGGTCTTTTCAGTTGAGAAGGCAGGACTCGTAGGTGGGCACCATGTATTTGATGTTGATGAAGGCGTCTTCACCCCCGTAGCGTTCAAATACCTCCAGCGTCTCCTGGATCAGGTCTCCAATGTTCTCCCTCTTTTGCTGGCTATAGTCAATACCATCACCTGAGTTTTCTGCACACAACACAAACACAAACACAAACACACACACACACACACACACACACACACACACACACACACACACACACACACACACACACACACACACACACACACACACATTGTGCATATTAGTATATCTTAAGATATTACATTTCATGCAGTATATGATGTAGATGTTTGTAAATATTAAAGGTTTACCAAAAATAAAACAGCAATTCTGAATTGCCTCAAATAGGTTGTTAGTAATTGTAGTCTTTCTTCTTGTATAAACCTTTATGGTTTTGTAACACATTTTCATAATGCACATTTGCACAAACATTCTTTCTGCATGCCCTTTTAAACAATGAGGAACCAGGATCAAACAAATAAGTATTTTTTGTGTACACAAATAAACGTGAATAAAATTTAACTAAGGTAAATGCCATCAATCAGATTGTATCAAAGCACTGAGGAAGCCTCTGGAGCTGAAATTTAGAAATTGCAATGTACACTCACGGGCCACTTTATTAGGTACACCTTATGAGTATCGGGTTTGACCAACTTTTGCTTTCAGAACTGCCTTAATCCTTCATTGCATAGATTCAACAAGGTACTGGAAATATTCCTCAGAGATTTTGGTCCATATTGACATGATAGCCTCATGCAGTTGCTGCAGATTTGTTGGCCGCACATCCATGATGAGAATCTCCCATTCCACCACATCCCAATTGTGCTCTATTGGAGGCCATGGTGACTGTGGAGGCCATTGTCATGTTTAAGAAACCAGTCCGAGATGATTCACTCTTTATGACATGGTGCGTTATCCTGCTGGAAGTAGCCATCAGAAGATACACTGTGGTAATAAAGGGATGGACATGGTCAGCAACAATACCCAGGTAACCTGTGGCATTGACACAATGCTCCATTGGTACTAATAGGCCCAAAGTGTGCAAAGAAAATATCCCCACACTATTACACCACCACCAGCAGCCTGAAATGTTGATAAAAGACAGTATGGATCCATGCTTTCATGTTGACACCAAATTCTGACCTTACCATCTGAATGTCGCAGCAGAAATCGAGACTCATCAGACCAAGAAACGTTTTTCCAATCTTGTATTGTCCAATTTTGGTGAGCCTGTGTGAATTGTAGCCTCAGTTTCCTGTTCTTAGCTCATCTGCCTCAAAGTTTGACATGTTGTGCTTTCAGAGATCCTCTTCTGCATACCTCGGTTGTAACGAGTGGATATTTGAGATACTGTTGACTTTCTGTCAGCTGGAACCAGTCTAGCCATTCACCTCTGAACTCTGGTATTTTCTGTAAACCATAGAGATGGTTGTGCAAGAATCCCAGTAGCTCAACAGTTTCTGAAATACTTATACCAGCCCGTCTGGCACCAACAACAATGCCATGTTCAAAGTCACTTAAATCCCCTTTCTTCCCCACTCTGATGCTCGGTTTGAACAGCAGCAGATCATCTTGACCATGTCTACATGCCTAAATGCATTGAGTTGCTGCCATGTAATTGGCTGACTAGAAATTATAGGCGTTACTGGGCAGTTGGACAGGTGTACCTAATAAAGTGGCTGGTGAGTGTATGTTCTATTTACAACAATGCAACATTTAAGACTGTTAGAGCATTTTTTAAGTTTAAGTTCATGAACAATTGTAATGAATGTAAATATATTGTAGGACTCCACTGAAAATAAATCTTCTATAACAGCATACTGTGGTACTTTAAAAGTCTAAAGCCCTAATAAAATGCATAAAGGCCATGACACACCAACATAACATTAAAAACAATGCTATTGTTGGTCAAAGCTAACAGAAACTCAGTGATACCCTGACATTGACATCCATTGAGTAGATGTGTCACTAACTGTATCTATGCATGTGCAAACTATGGCAGTTGACTAGGGCACCACCACCTACAGGGACACCAATGAGTGTCCCTCACACCAAATTTCCCCTAACAGTTAAGATTAGACAATAAATACAAATAATTCCACAAAAAATTGTTGTTGGAAGTCTAACACTTCTGGTCCGATATGCCAGAGCAGCCTCAGGAATGCCGATTCTGGTATGAGATTCAGCATAATAGCGTGTCAAAAAGTTTAGAGAAGGCATTGAGACACACACTCACTCACACTTGTACACCCTCTCTCTTTATGGGCACTTCTTATAGATTTTCATACTGTGCAGGCTGTATATTCAACCACCTGACACCATCCCTACTTTTAAACCCAACTTTGACAGAAAAAAAAAACATTTTGCACTTTTCCATTTTCAGTTTCATTCTGTATGATTTATGAGCCATTTTTCTCATGGGGACCTAAAAAAGTCCCCACAATGTGAAACTTTACTGGTATTGCTGTACTTGGAACATTTTTGGTACCCACAATGTGATAAATACATGTACACACACACACACACACACACACACACACACACACACACACACACACACACACACACACACACACAGAATGATCTCCTGAAGGAAGAAGTTCTAATAACTTTTAAATCCGTTGCACAGGAGTGTGTACACGTCTCGAATAATTCATCAGAAGAAGGAGTGTGTGTGTGTGTTTGTCGGGTGCTCTTATGCACATCTCTGCCACTCTCTGACATGACATTAGAGAAACCCATCAATCACTGGGTAACCTATAAGCACACACAGAAATCAATACGTTCACAGAGTCACACATACACACAGGCTCATCATAAACACACAAGCCCACACACAAGCTACCAACCAAACAAACTTCCTTCTGAGGTCACAGGCCCAATTACACCTGCACAGAAGCCTGAACACACACACACATGCACCTCTCCATCTCTTCCTCCTGCTCATTAAAAGGAAAGAATGACAGACAGATGAAAAGAGAACAGTTAAGTAGGGAGTCTCTGCCTTCTAGCAGGTGTGAGTGTGTGTTGCCTGTCTAAACCCGTGTAACTAAATGTCTTCATCTGCTCTTCTCATCCTCTGACTGGAGGATTGTTTCCATGCTCTCCATACATAGACCCCACACTCGGGTCTCAAAACCCACAGAAAGTCAATAAAATATACAAAGAAATTCTTGTGGTGTGCAAATATGCTCATTTGTACACAAACAGTTGATTTTAAGCAGCTTGGTGGCCATGTTAGCTATGCCCCCGGGCAGCAGTTTTGCTTGTGCAGCTTCTGTCAACTTAAATGAGAAAAAATGAAAATCAACACACCCGTGTCAAACTGAACCAACTTTTAGAAACCTGTCTAAGATGATTCTTGCTTTATGATAAGGTGCGTTATCGTGCTGGAAGTAGACATCAGTTAATAGGTACACTGTGATCATACAATACTAAATTAGGCTGTGGCGTTAAGACAATACTTAACTGGTATTAATGGATCCAAAGTGTGCCAAGAAAATATCCCCCACACCATTACACCACCAGCCTGAAACGTTGATACAAGACAGGATAGATCCATGCTTTCATGTTTTTGAAGCCAAATTCTTACCCTACCATCCCAATGTTGCAGCAGAAATCGAGACTCATCAGACCAGGCAATGTTTTTTCAATATTGTCCAATTTTGGTGAGCCTGTGCAAATTGTAGCCTGAGTTTCCTGTTCTTAGCTGACAGGATTGGTGAAAATCCCAGTAGATCAGCAGTTTCTAAAATACTAAGACAAGCCGGTCTGGCACCAACAACCATGTTACGTTAAAAGTCACTTAAATCACCTTTCTTCTCCATTCTGATGCTCGATTTGAACTGCAGCAGATCGTCTTGACCATGTCCACTGATTGGCTGATAAGAAACTTGTGTTAACAAGCAGTTGGACAGGTGTACCTAATAAAGTGGCCAGTGAATATACATAAACATCATGTTTTTTACACATTTGTTTAATTGCACAAATTGTTAACTTCTCATCTGGCATAATAGTAACAGTTTGATCGCGTTGGAAGAAGAAGAATGACAAGACAAAACCATGAATATTGTTTTGAGTACTATAACACTAGTAACTATATAAAATTACTGTTACATTCATGCTAAAATGCCTTTTATCTCTCACTGTTGACAATTCAGCAATGCTGGGGCATTGTATTTTAACAACCTTTGGTTGTTTGTCCTAGATTTAAAGAGGTATCCTAACGTGACCATTCACTATAGAGTAATTTCTCACAGAGAGTTAGTTCAAACTGGTGCCGTGACCCGGATGACTGTGAGGTTTATAGGGCAATAAGGTTTAACCAGAGCTCTGCAAGTAAACCTCACTTTCCTGGATTACAGAGACAGACTAGAAACTGACACGGTCATCTGCCCTCATTTGCATTCACCTGCCATGCTGGAAACACAGGTTCAAATCCCCCTCTGATACATTTAGTCCTTATTTGGCTTCAAAAACAACATGCAACATATAGCCCACAGTTAGTGAAAACCTCTCATCTGCATCTTTATTCTTCACCAAAACATGCAACCTCTTGTTAGGAAGTAATTCAGTCTTTCCAAGTTCATAAGTCTAAATTCTAAAAGGTGATAATAACAGTTAACCATGGCAGTTGGTTCATGTTTTAGGTTGCTGAAAGAAACCTTTGGTCTTTTGTTTTTGCAGGCTTCCCCTTTGTTTTGTTTTTTACCGTCATGCTTGTGTTTGTCCGTTTCTGAGAGGATCTCAAAAGCCCTTCAATAATCACACACACATTATTATCATGAGCTCAAGAAGTTCTTTATTTCAAATATAGAAGCACGGAGAGCAATCGCGAGCTCTCTGGAGAAAATGAAACAGCTCGTTATCATATGTATATATCATAATGATTTACTGTCTAGGCTGTCTATTTAAAAATGGCGCGTCCTTTGTTTTCATTAACCTGGCTTGTACACACGCTAGTGACGTTTGTCTGTAAACCAATATTCTGTAATGACTGTAAACCAACTTTTTGGGTACCCTTTGGAAAAAGGGTACTCAAAAAGTGGTACGGTACGGTTCACTTTTAGGTACCTTTTGACAGTGGAAACAGACATAAAAGTGTACCAACCCGTACTGTACC